AGTTTGCCAATTGTTAACCAATCCAAAGATTGTAAAGCTGAGAAACCTGAGCTGTTTGAAAACTCTATAAAAACCCTGCAGACAATAAATCCAGGGCTCTTTCCCTATTCCACTGCATCGAATAAGGTTAGAGACCTGGCTCGAGCTTGATTAAACTACCCTTATGTATTTGCATCGGTACACGGCTCCTGGGTGGTCTTTGGGGACCCCGAATTCTGGGCATAACACAAAGTCCTACCCAAATTAATCACAGAGCCTATAGTCATATGAAGAGGGTATTTTGTGTTAAAGGGAAAAGATGGAGTTTTTAGCTTTACAATTTTTGAATTCCTCATGAAGATGATTTAGGCTTGTTTCAAGCCTTGTTTTATCATCCCCCTGAAGTTTCTCTATTTTTCTCTTAAAAGAAAGGCCTGCTGATATACTTCAGAAAAACCAGCACTGAAACCTCTGTGGAGCAGTTCTACTCTGACACACATGTGGTCACTTTAAGTCAGAATTGGTTTACCAGCAACTGGTTTTTGTGAAGTGCCATTGAATCATTTTTGACTTATAGTGAACTAGTATACGGGTCTGTGACACGAATGTTGTATTCAAACCACTGATGCTGTGGTTAGCAGTCCAGTGCTTATCCTTCAGTGCAGCACCAGGACTCACTGGTACTACTGATAAATTTTCTTTTTTTTTTTTTTATGTTTTATTGTGAATTATGTGATAGTTTACATGGAAGAACATTAGCTTTACATTCATCCTACTTGCATTTCATTGCCATGGTTACAATCCCCTCCATGCATCATCAACCAACTAACAGGTATACCCTGCAAGCCTGGCCCTAGTCATCAGCACACAGCCTCTCTCCCTCTCTGGGTCTAAAGTCCCCAGCCACTCCATCTGTCCATGTCATCATCTCTACCTCCATCTCAGGCATCACTGCTTCTCTGGGTAGGATCCCGCTTTCCGCGCTCTTCTTCCTTGATGGTCCCAGGGACCTCCGCTCCTAGATTGCAGTCAATCACTCCCCTCCTTTTGCTACAAAAGTCTATCTTTACATTTCCAACCCTCAAAATCCATTATCTTTTAATTCCATTTTCCTCAAACTTTTTGAAGCTCCCTCACATTTTTTTTTCACTTAAGGACAATTTCTTCACTGTGTTAGTGTATTATCTCTAGCAATGGACAAACATGTCCACGTTCATCCCTGTACCTTCTTCCCTACATGTAATTTACAAACATGTCCTTGTTCATCCCTCTACCTTCTTCCCTATATGTTACTATATTACTTTGATTATATTTCCTTTTCAGTCATCAGTCTTCTCAGGCTGTAGAATAGCCTTCCCCACCAATCTGTGGTCCTTCACAGCTTCATGTATAGCTTCCTTGATATAAGCAATCAGGACTAGATGTTCCACAGGGGTATCTGCCCCATGATTTTCACAGGCATGATGTGTTATGGTTTGTGTGCAAAATTTTTTTTAGCGATGCAACCATTCAGTCTACCACTGTTAATGAACTATTTCCCATGTTCACTGTCTTCAGATGTAGGTAAACAGTATTTTATTTTGTTGTCTATCTTATTAATATAGAATATTTTCAGAAATATTACTAACTCCTGTATCAGGCAACTTCCTCATAATTGAGAACTCAGGTTCCATCATAGAAGCATTTTCCCTTAAATTGTTCCCTTTTACAATTAAACTTGTTCTCACCACCTTTTCTTTTGGCCACACGCTCATCTCTTCTAAAAAGATGGACCCTGTAATTATTGTTGAGTCTTTTGCAAACCTATTTGCCAGTAGGCCCCTTATGAGCATTTTCTTCTTTTGAATCTTACCAGGGATCTGTAAAGAATGCTTTGAATGCATATTCAAGGATCTAAGTAGAAGCTATCCAGTCATTTCCATGACTAGAGAAAATATCAATTATTTTGAACTTAGTTTTTTCTCAATTGTTGATTTTATTCTTTAGCATTTAGAATCTATAAAATTCAATTCCCTTGAAAAACACTCAATATTTGCCTGTGTAAGACTACCTTTAGAAGTAACTATAATTTGCAGTAAAGAAAATATAGGAAGCTCTTGACTACAGTTTCAGGTGATTTATTTGATATTGCTCTATCTGCTGTTATTCACATACTTCTCAGTCTTGTTCATAAACAATAATCCTGTTTCATGCAAATCATGATTGGAATAAATCTTTTACCTATCACTACATTTCTTTCATTGGTGATTAAAATCCCACAGCAGAAGCTATACTTTAAGTGTGAATCTATTAAAGCTTAGGTGATAGACCAGTTAGAATATCTTACACAAAGCTTAAAGAAAGAATGAGCTCAAGTGAATTCAGGTATATTTCTCTTTATAGGTGGATTCCAGAACCAAAATAGAAAAAAGACTACATAACATGTATTTTGTGACTTTTTAGGAATTAAAGAACCTAGCAATATTGTCTTCACTATTTTTATACTAAACAGTTTTCAAATCCACAGTTCCAGACTGTGCTGATGAATACATATACTTAATATGGCATAAATGTTGTTTCAAAACCCCAATTCTTAAGGAGTTACTAATGCCGACGGAGTCCCGGTGTGACACTGTGGGATAAACCACTGGACCACAAGGTCAGCAGTTCAAATTCACCAGTCGCTCCCTGGAAACCCTACATAGGGTCGCTATGAGATCAAACCAACATGATGGCACTTAACAATAACAACAATGCTGATTACTTGAAGTTCTGGAAACCATCTCTCACAAGTGTGCTCCAAACAAAAGAGTGCTTTATGATGATTTACAGAATGTAAAATGTTAAATTTGCAGATTGCTTGGTGTACTTCTGGTTGTTTCTCTTAAATAAAGTAGAAAAACTGCAATTTTGTAGTCCTTTGGTTTTATTTTCTGCGATAAAAAAGCATAGGCATAAATGTTTTAAATGGTCCTCTTGATAATATCCTTTAAAATAACCTATCAAATGGCTTATTTCATGTCTCTTGATTAACGATATTCATAAATGTCAATGTCCACCTTGATTTCAACTGGTTGAAAATTGCAGAGCAGAGTAATTAGCATTTCTGACTGTTTCCCAATCCCTGAGAATCAAAACCATCACAGAAAGATTTTATCCTTTCATTGTAAGTCTCAGGAAAGCAGTCGTGTTCTTTCACTGTTAACTGAGCAAGGAGCAGTGTCATACAGAGTTAATCCTTGCAAATTGGCTTCCACTCGTAAAGAAATTTTCTGGAACAAAAAACAAAATGACATATAGAAGCTTGCTCCTTGAAGACAGCCTACAGAACACAGTAAAGGTGTACTCTATTTTTTGTAATTAGACATATAAATCAATTCTAATATTAAACACAGTGAGACAGCTGTTGCATCGTCAAAGTTCTCCTCTCTAGTACCAATTGATCTGGGAATACTAACATTTCCTGATTCATAAAGTTCCTTATTTTCCCTTGGTTTCTATAAGAATCAGCAAATAACAAATATTGAGGTTAGCCTTTATAAATGTAGACAGAACTGATAAAAAAATCTGTGAATTTCTCCAAATTCCATTGTTTTACAACTCTATTCCCAAGCCTGAGCCTTGCTAGCAACATGCTACTTTTCTCAAAAGCAGAAGCAGAAACTTACCTAAGGATTACTATTATGGGACCACTGTTCATGGTGCCACATGTTATACAAAATTAACTTTCAAAAAGGTTGGAAATTTGCTTATGAAAAGTTCTCTTGCTCCACCTGAAGGAGATTTGACTGACTCTGCACGAATCTGTGTTTTCTTACCTGAAAATCTCGAATATAAGTCAGGAAAAAGCCAAAGAAGGAAAATGACATGGACCATTCTGCTGCAGTAGTGATCGTATGAAGCACATAACCCTTGAGTGATGGATGGGGGGGGGGAGGAATAGTTGTGAAATTTCATTCAAATAAAAAAAATTCTGTCTTCTAATAATCAACCTGTTATTTACTCAACATATCTCAAGAATTAATTACAAGGAAGACAAGAACACATTCCTAAGGGATATTAGCTATCTTGGTTTTATCTAGAGTAAATACAATTGCCACTGGTGTAAGATGAAACAAGAATTTTCTACATTATTTTACTCAGGAAGCTATTATTGCCTTTCCCAAAGCCACATTCATAAGATGTCATTAAAAGAGTTTGAGTAAATGATGCTCATGATAAATTTAGTAACTGCTCTTTTCAGAATATTAAATACATGAATTTATGATTAGAAGACTCTAGTAAGTTATTTCATTCATTTATCCTCACGAACATGTCCTGTTCAGAGCTGATTCTTACAAGATGATTTATAAGAGAATGTCATCAAGTGGTTAGGGAGAACCAATGAACTTGTTTTAATTTAGACCTGTCGCTCCTCTTTTATTATATGGATCAAAGATGCTATCTTCATTCAGATAAGCTACCATATTGGAACCTAAATGCACACACAGTCTTCAATAAACTTCCAGATAATAAAAAACAGAAGATACCCTTTTCAACCTAGAAAATAAGTATTCTAAAAATAAAAGGTCTCAACTGGGTATATTGTATACTATACCTACACTCAGGGGAGTGTCAGTTTCTGAGAAAATGCTTAGTTATCAAAATTCTTTTCATGCCTTAAAAATCTCCATGGTTCATAGATGACAGGAAAATTGGGCTGGATGTACATAAGCTCGATCATGTTTAGGAAATAATCCCAACACATAACTGAAATGCTATTGAAAAAGTTTCTGTACTAGTTTGAACTGAAAACAAACAAACAAATATCAAAATAGTAATTTTTAACAAAACTAAATTTTATAAGATGGTTCTTACTTTGTCCTCAGGGTTCCAATGGAGTTTCTGTACTATATCGGTGCCAAAATTACCACTATACAAAAGTGATGAGCAAGTTAGCACTATAAAGAAATAAGTCAAGGAAAAATCTCAGAAATGCCCCATAAATTTAAATTAGATTCAAATAAAAAATCACTGTAATGACCCATAAGAGTTACTCAGACATTTGTTGCAAAGGTCCAAACCAGTTTTCAAGTTTATTGTAAGCAATTGTAAAATTAAAACCATCCCCCAGAAGATCATTACAAAATGGTTTTCATAGTCAACCTCCTCCTCCCTGCTCAGTCAATTAGCAATTCTATTGTAAGTTCAACCAGATAATTGTTCCCAGGTAGGGCGTTAGCATATCCTTCATGTCTCTTAAGTATGATCAGGCTGAACATTCCAGATTGAGTATTCTTCGCTTAGTTATGAAGGTTGTTGTTATGTGCCGTGGAGTCGATTCTGACTCACAGCAACCCTGTACAGGGTTTCCGAGGCTGTAAATCTTTATGGGAGCAGAAAGCCTCATCTTTCTCCCGCAGAACAGCTGGTAGTTTCAAACTGCTGACCTTGCGGTTCGCAGCCCGATTCGATTCATAACCACTACGCTACCAGAGCTTCTAGTTATGAAGGTAGACTGTACCATTAGAATTCTGTGTTTCAATGGAATTTAATATAGAATTACTAACCCAAGAATCTCTCCCACAAAATGGCTGCTTGCAATGTGCCCAAAGTGTTCCTCCCCCCCAATTGTAAATTGTGTTAAAGTTTACAAACATATCAGTTTTCCATTCAATAATTCATAAACATTGTTTCATGACATTGATGGCAATTCCTACCATGTAACATCATTTATCCTACTTCCTCCCTGTGCTTCTTGTATCTATTCTTCCTTCTTTGCTAACCTTTTGGAACTTTGTCCTATAGTAAATGTTGCCCTTTTGATCTCAAATGATTAATTCTTCTAAGGCATGCATACCTCCCTGGTGTTACTGTTTGTTTCCCTTATAGACTAGTTTACTGCTAGGCTGAAATTTGAGCCATAGGGGTGAACACTCATTTTCAGACCTAAGGGTCATAGTCTCGAGGTTTCCACTAGTCTCTAGTCAACCCCTAAGCCTGGTCTTTTTTATGATTTTGAATTTTATTCCACCTTTTTCTCTCATTCTATCCAGGACTTTCTAATGTGATCCCTTTCAAAACAGTTGGTATTGGTAGTCGGGCACCAGCTAGTTTGTCTGGTCTCAAGTAGTGGAGACTGGTGGTCACGTGGTCCATTAGTCCATTGGGCTAATAGTTTCTATATGTCTTTGATCATCATTACTTTTCTTTCCTCTGTACAGGGAGAGACCAATAGCTGCACCTTAGACAGTCACTCATTACCTTTAAGACCCCAGTTGTTACTCACCAAGTAGGATGTAGAACATTGTCTTTATGGACTATATTATGCCAATTGACCACGGTATCCCCGAGACTATGGTCCTTAATAATCAGTCACTCCTTCCCTCAAGGTGTTTGCTTGTGTATAAGAAGTACATAATTTTGCCCCCTGTATACTTCACCACATTCATGCTGCAAAGGTAAATACACATAAACAAATATCCTCTGTAACACTTATATATATATTCATGGGTATGTACTCCCACTCTCCTTTCCACACCTGTTCAGCCTACTTTTATCCATGCATCTACTCATTTCTTGTTATTAAATGCCATCAAGTTCGTTCTGACTCATGCGACCCTGTATAGGGTTTCCGAGGAAAGGCAGGTGGGTTTGAACTGCCACCTTGCAGTTCAGAGCTTATCCTACAGCACCACACCAGTACTCCATCTACTCACAGATATGCGTTATTGCAGGATTGTGCATATAGCAGCAGTATTTACTTCTGTTGCCTTTAACTGTTGAACTCTTCCCAGTATCTTCCCTGGATTTCATAATTTTTATCTCCCGCTTATTGTAAATTGCCTTCCTCTTCACCCAAGTTAACACATGTCTACCCTGTAGCCAGTAATTGCCCTTCCTATCCATCCACCCAAGGTAACCATCAAAGAATGTTTCTCTTAGAGTGAAAACCATTTCTTGACTTTCTTACAATAGTGGTCTTACATAAAATGTGTCCTTTTGTGACTAATTTCAAGATTGCTTATTTTGTTATCCCATTCCTTCAGAGTGAAACAATTTTACAACAACAATTTTACATAAAAGGATACTGCTAAATGCACTTACTGTACTCCAGATAACCAGCAGTAGTCTGATCCAGAATATTTGTTTGCCATGAATTCTTGGCTGCATTTGGTAGGAAAGGATAGTCTGAACAAACATATATAATGAGCCCAGACCAAAGATTAGTATAGCTCCACTAACATGTGCAGCAAAAAGGGTTGTTTTCTAAGAGATAGAAGAAATAAGTAAATGAAATTCAGACCACATTGGCATCACAACATTGGAAAGCACAATCAGAGATTTCAAAGCACACATTTTGCACATTTTACAAACAAATATGTCACTTCTTGAAATAATTTTCTCTCATAACAGTAATCTGAGGATTACAGAAAACCAGACATATGCCACTACTAAAAATACCATAACATTTATTAATTTATTATTTTATTTATTTACTAATATACTTCTTTGGCGTCTATTCTGTGCCAGGATATACCAGTGAACAAAACAGACAAAAAAATCTAGGCTGCTTCGTGTTTATTCTAATAAGAAGGACAAGCAATAATATGCAAGTAAATTACCTAGTATGCTAGGTAATGATAAGATTTATAGACAACAAATAGTTCAAGTAAAGAAGGATTTTCATGGTTGAGAATGCTCTGGGTAGGAAGTTACAATGTAAATTTAATGACAAACTAAAAACTTGAGAAATTAAAATGCTACTCCTTTTGGTTCTCAGTTTGATAGATTTTAAAAAAATATATCATAAGGCATTACCATAAATGATATATATTTCTTCTCCTTTACCTTACTCATATCAGTATCCATTTATAATTTACATTTCGGTGTTCAATATAGCTTCTGCTCATAAGTGACAGCATTGCTGTTAAGTCAGTTTCAACTCATACCAACCTTGTTCAGGGTTTCCAAGGAGTGGCTGGTGGATTTCAACTGCTGCCCTTGTAGTTAGCAGTCTAGTGCTTATCCTATAGTGCCACACCAGGACTCCTTAGTTCTCTACAAATTCTACAAAGGTTTTTTCTTGGATCAGTTTGGATTTCACTTGGTAGGGAAGATACTGAATAGTTTATCACAAACAGTTTTCAATCACTAAGATAAAAAAGAGGTTAGAGTTTGGTTTCTTCTTTTTACCATCAGCGCAGTGGTTACGAATTGGCCTGCGGACCTTAAGGTCAGCAGTTTGAAACTATCAGCTGTTCCACAGGAGAAAGATGAGGCTTTCTGCTCCTGTAAAGATTTACAGCCTCGGAAACCCTGTTCAGGGTTGCTATGGGTCAGAACCGACTCCACGGCACATAGCCACCACATGCTAACTTATAAACACTATTGCTGAAGATGATGGGATTTTGTCTCATACAGTTTGGACATGCTATCAGGAGGGACCATCCCTAGAGAGGGACATCATGTTTAGAGGAAAAATAGAGGTCAATGAGACAGAGGACAATCCTTAACAAGATGGATTGTTACAGTAGAAGCAACAATGGGCTCATACAGCAACAATTGTGAGGATGGCACAGAATGGGGCAGTGTTTCACTCTGTTGTGCATAGGGTTGATATAGGTCAGAGCCGACTCAACGGTACTTAACAACAACAGGTTCTCTTTCTCTTTTATTGGTCAAGTCTTTTAATGACCTTAAGTATTTAATTTTAAGGAGGTCCCGGTTATCTAATTCATCTTCTGTCATTCATGCACTTTTAGTTTCATTTGATACAGTATTTATACCTTAGTTAGACCCTGATGGCTAGGTGATGGCCTGCTAACAGCAAGGTCAGTGTTTCAAAACCACCAGCTGATCATCAGGTGAAAGATGAGGTTGTCTGCTTCAATAAAGATTGAGTCTTGGAATTCCTAGGTAGTGTATCATGAGTCAGAAACGGCTTGATGGCAGTGAGTCGGTGGTTAAGGTCTAACCCTACATTGTGTGCCTGAAATTTTAGTTTTAGTTTTAACATTTAGGTCTTTGATCCATTTTTAGTTAGTTTTTGTGCGTGGTGTGAGGTATGATTTTTTGCATGGACATCTAGTTTTTCCAGAACCATTTGTAACAGATACTGTTTCTTCCCCGCATTAACTGGACTTTGACCTTTTGTTGAAGATAGCTGCTCATGGGAAGATTTACTTCTGGCTTCTCAATTCTGTATTTTTGTAAGTTTTGAGATCTGAAAGTGCGAGGCTTTCTACTTTCTTCTTCAATATTGTTTTAGCTATTTGGTGTCTCCTTCTTTTCTATATAAAGTTGAAGATTCGTTTTTTTTCTTTTCATTAAAGAATGTTACTGGGATTTGGATCAGGATGGTATTGTATCTATAGATCACTTTTGGTAGCATTGACATTTTCTCAATGTTAAGTCTTAAAATCCAGGAGCATGGGATGTTTTTCCATTTACACAGATCTTTTTAGATTCTTGCAGTAGTGCTTTATAGTCTTTTATGACCCTGGTTAGGTTTATTCCTAGGCATTTTATACTGTTAGGGACTATTGTATATGTTATTGCTTTCTTGATTTCCTTTTCAGGGTTTTCCTTGTTAGTGTAGAGGAACCCAACTGATTTTTGTGTATTGATCTTATACCCTGACATTCTGCAGTACCCTTCTATTAGTTTCAGTAACTTTTTTGTAGTTTCTGAGATTTTCTATGTATAAGATTGTGCCATCTGTGAACATGCAGTTTTACTTCATCTTCAATTTGGATAGCCTTTATTTTCCTTTCTTGCCTTAGTGCTCTAGCTAGGACTGACAGTACAAGATCGAATAAGAGTACAAACAAAGGGCATCCTTGACTCATTCCCATTTTCAAGGGTGGTGCTCAATTTTTCTCCATTGAGAATAATGTTGGCTGTTGGTTTTAGATATGTGTTGATTACCATGCATTTGTTTTGCCACATAGTATATATGCTTTTACTCTCAAGGAAATTCAATCTGTACTTTAAAAGTTAGATCTTTCAGATACCATATTATAACATTTAGGTAGCTCTTAAAATGCAGACCATAAAATTTTCACAGCAAGAATTTTTTTTTTTCCCATCTTGCTTCATCCATTTGGCTCTTTCAATAAATTCCTCAATATTTAATGTGAGAATGCCTTTGACATGTATTACACTAGGTGCTTAAAATTGATGGAGAAATTATACTTACTATAAACAAAAACAAATTCTAACATATGCACAAAAAAATCCCCAAACAAAACCATAGATATAAAATTACTGACTGTGTACTAAGTCATATGAAGAATCCATTCTCAGAGGCTTGGAGAATATACAAAAAGAAAATTTGAACTATACTGGGGTGATGCTCAGAGAAAAGAACTCCCTGAAGCAGTACAGTCTGCACTGTGGTCTTTAAGACAGGTAAGTCTATTTACACTGGTATTTCTGGCATGTCCATAAGGAGATGGCAAATTAAATTAGCTCATCGTACATAAAAAACAAACAAAAACAGCCAGTATATGTAAAACAGAGACATCAGGAAGGGCAATGATGCAGAATGAGATTGACCAGGACCAGCGAGCTAATTATGCAATTTAGCAGTTTATCAAATTACTTTTTCCCCTCATGATTACATCTTTTCATGCAGTTTGAACTTGTACAGCTTTTGTTAGGTGTGCAGTGAACCAGTGAAATGAATATAGACTGCCAAAAATATCACTCTGGCTGCAATATGAACAAATGATTAGAAGGATGTCAGAGCTCTAGCAAAATAAAACAAAACATGGAGACACCTTTGGTGGTAATTCAGATAAGAGATGATGAAATTAAAAATGGTTGAAAAGGAGATGATGAAGAGAGAAGTGGAGATGAAAATGGAGAGTAGTGGATGCAACCAAGAAATATTTAAGAGGCAATCCCAGTAAGTCCTTACTCTATAGCACAGTGCTAGTCTCTCTTCCAAGTCAAGTGCTGTAGCTATAGCACATTTACAGAGCTGGTTTGTGCACAATTCATTCTACATGAAGCCACTAAAGTTTGTCTCTACCAAGAGAAAGAAATGGAGGGAAAGAGATCTATTTGATACTTGAGTAATGCTACAGGATCTGCATTATGGATGTTGTTTATGTTGCTAAGTCAACTTGGTTCCGATTCACAGTGACCCTGTGTAGGGTTTCTGAGGAGCAGCTGATGAGCTTGAACTACCAACAGTACCATGCCAGGATGCCTACTTTATAGGTAGGACCCAGCAATGAAACTACTAGTAAAGGAAGATGAAGAGGGCATTCCAAAATTTTATGAAAAGAGATTCAATTAAGAAAGAAAATCTGATTCAAAGTAAGGCAATGGTACTCCTGTGATGAAAGTGAATAGGAATGAAAGTTGAAAATAAAACACATAATTACAAAGCCTTAGCAGGTGAGTGAGATAAAGGTAGAAAGGTAATTTGTTAGGTGTTATGAGAAACTACTATAAGAACAGAGATTCACTGGGTTGCATACACAAGGATCAATTATTAATGGAAAAAGTATGAAAAATGCCATCCTTGGTGGCATAGTGGGTAAGTGCTCAGCTGCTAGCTGAAAGGTCAGCAGTTCAAAGCCGTCAACTACTCAGTGGAAGGAAGTTGTGACAGTTGGCTTCAGGGAAGATTAGAGCCTTGGAAACCCAATGGGGCAGTTCTACTCTGACCTGTCGGGTTATTATGAGTTGACACTGAACCAACAGCAACAGGTTTGGTTTTATTTGCTGTTGTTGTAGAATGAAAAATGTGGAGATAACTTTGAAATTTGGTTTTATTATACAGATGACGATCATATTCAGTGGCTCAAAGGACAACTGAGTGAAACAAATCACTAATTATACACTAAAAATTTCAGAAACTATTTTTTAAATACAGAAACTATTTGACATATTTGTACCACGAACAGCTAGCTACTTTCCATCATATTTTTTGCTCCCCTTCCACAGTACAGAACTGTCCCTGGGAACTCATACCAAGGAATCTATACTTCCTAGCCTTGTTGGATTTAGCAAATGAATGTCTGTAGAGCAGTATGAGTCATGTCCAGGCACAGGCTTTTATGAAGTGACTGCTTTCTACAAGCTCTCTTTTATAGTTTCAGACAGCTGGATGCAGAAGACAATAAGACTTTAGGGGATGAGAGCTCAAAGACAGAAAGAGTATCTGCATGAAATCTGTGGGAGGAAGCCACCTGCCCAACATAAATACCACCACTGGGTTCATATAAGAAAAACTGGTGTTAAGCGACTGAAATTTTGGGCTTTATTTGGTACAGCTGTAAGCATTACACTAATTAATATCCATTTGGACTAACATTTATAAATACCACTAGTATTAAACAAGGAGCCCTTAGTAGCATAATGGATTATGAGCTAAGCTGCTACACTCAAGGTCAGCAGTTTGAATCTACCAGTAGCTCTTCGGGAGAAACATGTAAAGATTTGTAAAGATTTACAGCCTCAGGAACTCTATAAAGACAGGTTGCTGTGAGTCAGAACCAACTTCACAGCACACCATGACTACCACTAGCATTAACCATTACTAAACAGACTATGAAAAATAAAGGCCCAATCAGAAGTATTAAAGAAACAGAAACAGAATAGATATACAAATCTATATTTGTATTTTTGTTGTTGTTAAGTGTCACTGAGTTGATTCCAACTCATAGTGACCCAATGTAGGGTTTCCAAGATACAGCAGGTAGGTTTGAACTGCCAACATTTCAATTTGAAGTCTAGTGCTTATCCTATATGATTATATGTATGTTTGAATGGCTACTGGATTTCTAAAAAGGCCAAAATTTTTTTAAAAAAGGTCATCAAATGTCTAAACTGAAACCATAAAGGCTCTATTGTTGTTGTGGTTAGGTGCCATTGAGTTGGTACCAACCCACAGCAACCTTATGCACAGCAAAATGAAACACTGCCTGATCCTGGGCCAACCTCGCTATTGTTGCCATGTTTGAGTCTATCAATGCTGCCACTTGGCCAATCCATCTCGTCGGGGATCTTCCTCTTTTCCTCTGACCCTCCACCTTACCAAACATGATATCCTTCTCCAGCGACTG